TAAATTTCCCAAGTCTTTAAGTTGACGCTCACCAAAACTACACTTAGATGATTTGACATACAATTGGTGCTGCTGTAGTACCTTGAAAACAGTCTCAAGGTGTTGGATATGATCCACAATTCAACGATTATGTTGGGCAGAAACAACTGAGGATATGGAATATATCTCTAGACACTTGAGCATTTCTATCAGTCTAGGCCCTGATCTAAGATAGCTCAAAGATCATCTACCTGAACAAGTTATTGGAAATATGCAAGAAGGGTATAACAACCAGATAACTAAATAACTTTATGGTTAAGCGTGCTTGACTTACAGAATGGGTCACCTACTGGGAAGTAAGAATAGTGCAGTGTTGAGATCCATCCATTGGTATAAGAGCCGAAGTCGGGTTCAAATCGATGGCAAAGTAGTAACTGAGTCCAGTCCCGGGAGGGGATTAATAGGCGCAGAAGTTAAGGACCGAATTAGGCATGCTGCGCAACTAAGCTTTGTGATCAAAGGTTGTGGCAGGTGCTGGGTGGGGGATTGTTGGGCATTTGCCAGGTTGGCCGAGTTTAGCCCCTGCTCGATTCGAGACATGGCCTTGTGGTTTACCATGGAGGAGTGTGGTTAAATGGTTAATGTCTAGCTACTTATTACCAATTCGTTTAAGTAGGATATGACAACCAGACGTGGGCCCAAGGCCGAGTCCTGAGCTTGGCACCTTGGAGATCCTAGGCTAAGTGTACCTCGGAGGTCCCACGCTAAGTGCACCTCAGCGGTCCCATGCCAAATGCACCTCAAAGGTCCCACGCCAAGCTCCGAGCTCAGCGCCTTGAGGAGGTCCAAGGCCGAGCTCTTAGGCTCGGCCTCCGTGGCTTCTTGGACGGTTATAGTACGCGTAGTGGGGGCGTTAGACCTGTTCAAGGAGGTCCAAACTACCCGTCGTTTTCTTGTGGGAGTGGTTGGGGCGCAACCTAGTATAAAAACACTCATCTTTGTCTTATTAGCACATCTTATTCACTCTCTTATAATAGCTTAACATGAGTCTTAATACAATCTCTTCTCTGTGACACTATTTCCTGTCTTTACGTTCATTGCCTTTATCTTTATACATTATCTTTTAATTATTGGGTTATTATAATCCATCATATATATTAGGGTCTTGGGATATCTTCTTCTTTTTTTTTTTTTTAATACTATTGACTATATTACAAGGTAGTATATGTTCTATACTTTCTCTAACTATTACAACCCAAAGAATCAATACTCCACCACCGTAATTTGATCATGTGACCTTCTCTCAAGGGGAGGCACAGAGGTGCCATCTGAGCACAAAGTGCTTAACTCATTAGACTATATCTAACAACATGTTGATACAATTTTCTTCCAACTCAATTGCTAAAGTGAATACTGCAATCCACATTGGCTGCTATGTTTTTATTTTATTTTTCTTTTTATTTTCTTTTAGGATCACAAAAGCTCATGATGGAATCCGCTACTCGGACATAGCGCACCACTCCATTAATTATTAGAATCTAATCTATTCCTACAAAAAGACTTAAAAGTATATTTAAAATACTAAAAATCGTAAAATTAATCTAATAAAAGTGTAGTGCGGATTGCAGAACATATAAAAATAATAAAATTAACCTTTCTTTTTAATTTGTTTAAACTAATCAAATTATAAAGTATTATTCTTTATGTACTCATTTTAAAATTTATACCGAGTATAATAAAATAATAGTTTTGATAGAATAAATTAAAATGGAGCCATATTAATCAATTCCAAGAAGAAGAAATATAGAAACACTAGATAATGTAACAAAAAGACAAGAATGCTCATAAATTACAATTGAATACTTATTTAGTACAATAACTTAATGTTTGTGAGAGACAAAGTGTGTCTTAAACGAGACAAGGACTTGATTATTTATATTGGTCCTCTATCAATTTCTCCGAGAGATCCAGACTGCTTTAGCATGACTCGTGCATCATCCAACAGCCATAGACATAGCCAACTACCGGGACCCTATTGCCGATCCTATGCACCAACACCAACATCGATATCGATCACAAGCTACTCTTGAGTTCGCCCATTGAGCTCACGCCTAGCCCACCCCGATGTCGAATCTCAGTCCACATGCTTCACTCTAGGTTCGTGCTACGTTTATTGGGCTAAAAAGTTTAGATCGGATCCAATAGATCTGTTGGCCTTGTGTTTTTTTGTCTTGTTTTTTTATAATAACAAAATAGTTCATCTAATTAGTTGTCGAGTGTTTTTGTAGTTGTAAGAATTAAGTTGAAGAATTCCACTTGTTGGGCGTCGACTGGGTTGGCCTAGTTCAGCCCATGCTCGATTCAAGACGTGGCGATGTGACTTACTCACATATTTATCACCAATTGGTTTTAAGTAGGATATAACAACCAGGTAGCGAGTATAAGTAATTTTTGTCTAAAAATAATTCTTCTAGGTCATATTATTATTGTTAAACTTGTCTGAGACTAGTCGAAATAAAATAAAGATTAAAAATCAAACTTTTCAAATGACTGAGCCAAATGATTAGGTATAGGTTTTGACATCATCAAAAAATGGAAAAATTGTAAGTAATAATTGTATAGATTTTGATGAGCAAAAATGTAATTTTAGACCCCTATTTTTTATGTTTCGATAATTTTTATTTTAGTCTATAAGGGTCAAGAAAACTAGTCCAAGGAAATATTATGAGAAAGGCAAAAGATGTACAATGAAGAATAACTTGCAGCAGTTAACGTTGAAGGAAAATATTGAGCTAAGGAATTATTGATGAGCCAAGGTTTCAAAGAATGAAATGCGGTTGTAATAAATGAGCCAAGGTTTTTGAATAAGAGAAGACGTTTGAATCTGGAATGGAGCAAAGCAAATTATTGATGAGCCAAGGTTTCAAAAATCAGCTAAGGTTTTCAAGGATGATTCAAGAATTTTCTTTGAGCCAAGGAAAAGTATGAGTTGTTCAATTCGCATCTCACAAAGAACAAATTTAATTTGAGCTAAGGTTTTCAATCTTGAGCTAAGGATGCATAAGACACGAAACAAGTTATACTTGAGAAGAGTTCATATTCAAAAATCAAGGGAGAAAGAGCAGTAAAAAGAAATCCTTCAAAGTTTCATCGAGAAAAAAGACTTAGCAATTTCTAACGATTTATTTTTCTGAAAGTCTCTAAGAATTGGAGAGAAAAGAAAAAATTATTTTTCTTATAAACACATTCCCAACTGAGTGTAGCTAGGTAGATGAGAGAGTAACAAAGGAGTTTGTGAAAATCCTGAGGAGTGCAAGCTTGGTGTAGAAGCACTCCAAGTTGTCTTAGTGATGGCTTGGTGTTCAAGGCACTAAACAAGAAGTAGTTGTAAAAGTGCTGAGTTTGTGAACTTGCATTTGGTTGTTCACTATTGTATCTGGGTATTTAACATAGTAAATTCTTCATGAAAATAGGATTAGAGTGGAGTAGAAGAATTACATCACATTCGAAGCACTATTAATTTTGTGCCTTTACTTTACTTTACTACATACATTAACCATCTAAATATTCACAATCATCTAATTCTCTGAGCATTACACTTTAAATACATTTATTCCGTTGTGCATATTAAGTATTGAACATATTTCATACTCATCTCATTATTTCTATTATCTTAGAGCTAATATTTTATATTGTGTAAAAAAGTTTGAAAAGTCTATTCACCCCCTCTAAACTTTTCACCGCTCAACCGGAACCAAAAAAATATTTATAATTATAATTTTAAACTAATGCTAATAACATAATTAAGACTTAAATACAAACAATTATTATTGTTAAATGTGTATTTAAGTCTTAATTTTGTTACTAACATTAACTTAAAATCATAATTATAGTATTTGTAAATGGTTTTTTTTTTTTTTTTTTTTAACTTGAAATACTTATTTTGTTCATATTTTAATAATCTAAATATTCGAAAGAGAAATGTGTCATTTTTAAAATATTTAAAGGACTAATGTAAATATATAACTAATTTAAGAAAAGCGCTATAAGTACATAATTCAAGAAAAAAGTGTCATTTTTAAAATACTTATTTTGCTCATATTTTAAATAATCTAAAAATTCATTTAACATAGAAGGAGGAAAAAACGTTACTTTTTAAAATATCTAGAGGACTGATGTGAATATATAAATAATTTAAGAAAAGCGCTAAAAGTATTTGTTCATAAACTACTTTTTTATATGAAAATGCAATCTGGATATTATTAAACCACAAGGTCTTAGTGCGCTAGAAGTATATAATTCAAGAAAGAGTAAATACCCAAAATGGTCCCTCGACTATAGCTAAATTCACAAATTGGTCATTGACTTTTAATTTCAACCAATTAAGTCCTTAACTTTGTAATTTTGACACGATTTGGTCCTCCATCTATTTGACCGTTTGTTGACTGTGATCGACGATCTCCAGAAGAACCTTCAACTCTCGTCGGAGCACGTGGAGGCCTCCAGGATGACGTTGCACTGGTTCGGAAACACGTCGTCTTCTTCGCTCTGGTACGAACTCAAATACATTGAATCCAAAGGGAGGATGAAGAAATGTGACCAGATTTGATAGATTGCTTTCGGCAGGGATTCAAATGTAACAGTGCGGTCTGGAAATGCAACCAGAACCTTAAAATACCGACGATGGACCATGAAATTACATATATATCCTAAAAAATCACTGTCAACAAACAGTCAAATAGACAGAGGATCAAATTGTGTTAAAATTACAAAGTTAAGGACTTAATTTGTTGAAATTGAAAGTCAATGACCAATTTATGAATTTAGCTATAGTCGAGGTACCATTTTGGGTATTTACTCTTCAAGAAAAAAAAATTATTTTTTCAAAATATAAAGTATAGGAGTAAGATATTTTGGCGCGTGCAGACGCAAAAAACAGAAAAATGAAACCATGGGGCTCCGCATTTGGTGGAAGATATTTTGTATATGGAATAATGGAAATATCTGGTAAAGGTGATGACCCAATAACATTTTCCATTTTGATCCCTTTGCACTTTTGCTCCCAAGATATTTATTTTTATATTCAGAAAATACAAATATCTTTCCCAGTTGCCCAGATTCTCGAGTCCACCCCTCCAACCCATTCAACGGTCACATTACTCTCCGTGACAGACCAATCCCTGATTCCCACGCCTCGGCATCATCCCTACGAAAATGCTCGCCATTTACGACTTCGGCAGTTCCTTCCTCCGTTACCGCCGTCCGTCAATTCTCTCTCCATAAAACCAGATAAATTTGATTCTATTTTCTTTTCCTTTTTTTATTAATTCGCCCCCAATTCAAAAAGCTAGAGATTGATTGAAAAATCGAATATTATCGATAAATATCTAGCTATATATATGTGTGTATGTATGTATATGGATCGTAAGTACAGTTGAGGTCGGAGTGGTGGAGTTGGATCGGAGCATGGAGAACACGTCACGAGCCGTAAAGAAGCATTTGAAACGAAGCGGCGGCGGCGGCGGAGGCGGAGGAAGCCGTTTCAGTGGCGGGAGGAAGCAATACGAGAGTGAGAAGGAAGAGGGAGAGGAAGTCGGCGGCGAGGAGTGCGATCAGGAGGCGTGGGAGACGCTGAGCCAGAGTTTCCGTGATGTTCAGACGGTGCTGGATCAGAACCGGACTCTGATTCAGCAGGTCAACGAGAACCACCAGTCGAAGCTTCCAAATAACATCGCCAGGAACGTGGATCTGATTCGCGAGATCAACGGGAATATCTCCAAAGTCGTCGGAATGTATTCCGATCTCTCCGGAAATTTCTCCGGCATCGTTCACCAGCGCCGCTCCGGAGGCCGGGAACAGTAGCCACGACACCGTACCGATCCAGTCCTCACTGGTCAACTCATTCACCTCATTATTGGAAACTGCAATACGCAATCTTCGCTTCAATTCGATCGGTGACTTTTCTTTCAGTTTTACGCTTTAAATTAAGGTCTTCGAGTCTGCAGGTATATATATATATATATCTGTACTAGTCCATTGTTTCTTATCTGAATAAGGTTACGTTGTTGAATTGTTGTATATCGTCCAACACTGTTCGTTCAATTTGGACGGTAAATCAGTAAATGTGATGCTCCATTGTACGTCTGATCTTCTGTGTAATCTTATTGATGTTTGTTTTCTAATAACTTATCTTCATTCACTGCTGCCAGCAACGTGATTAAGGTATTTGTGCTTTGACCAGGCCAAGGACCTACTTAATTAACATTTTACTTAAAATTTAAATTAGATAAAAGGAAAAAATAATAATATCAGATAACTTAAAATAAGATTCACAAGTTTTGTAAAAATTTTACATACACAATAACAATTATGAAAAAAAAAAATTATAAGTATTTCTCTAAATGTAAAATGATCAATAATTACATCAGTGCATTCATAAATAAATAATTATAGTTTATAAAAACTAATAAACAATTATAAACTAAAAAAACTAACCAACAATAGCATTGTTATCATAATAAATAATAAATTAATTATTAATAAAAATTTATAAAACAAAACTTTAAAAAAAAAAAAAGTGGAGCTAAAAATATTTTTGACTGGGGCGAGAAATTCAAATATTTCAAAACGCAAAAAAATATTAATAACAAAATATAAAACATAATTAATTGGATAAAATGGTTTAAATAGAAACACATTATAAATCACACATATTCTATATCCATATGATATTTTGAAAATACTTTTTCTTTTTAGCTATATCAATTTCAAGTTTTTATAGAGTAATTTAAATACAATAAATCATAATAGAAACATTTAAATTACATTGACGAGATGATTCAATAATAAAAAAAAAAAAACAAATTATTGTTTTTTTTCCATAAGTGAATCACAAAATATATTTCATGTAAATTAATTAATCAAGTTAAATAATCTTTACAATTCATAACTCATTATAAAGCTCACAAAAAAAAAATACATGCAAAAAATATAAGTATTAATTTACTCTTCTAGACCGTAGGAAAAATTTATTTAAAGTGTGATTGTTGTTATGAAAATGGATGTATCCAAACAATGCTCAAAACTATAAAGAGGAAAAAGAGAAGAATCATCTGATTGTAATAATCCAGAACCCACGTTTCATTCATCACTGTAAGAATATACACTCGATAATAAAAGTACCGAATCAACTAAACAAAGGGGTAGTGGGAAATGACCATAAAGTGGTTATATTTACAACATTCCCCATTGACCATTATCTTATTATATTCATGCTTTATTAAAATCTTGCTAGGAAAATTCTGTGGTAAAAATTTAGTCAAGGAAAAAGAGTACAATCATAAACTAATCAATAAAAATTCAGGACATAATTTTCAAGATGATTTTCCCCTTTGATATTACTATACCATACTCATTACTAATGCCTCGTTAAAAACCTGGCTAGAAAAATCTAGTGGGAAAAACCTAGTGGAGGGAAAAAGATCAGAGTAGGTTGTTCATGATATATGCAAAAGGGAAAATGACATTTTTTTTTCTGAGTTATATATTTATAGTACTTTTTCCCCCTGAATTATTCATGTAAGTACATTAGCCCCCTCAATTATTCTAAAAGTGGCGATCCCCCCCGATATATTAAATTTACATTTCTACCCTTAAAATAAACATTTTATTTATTTTTCTTCTCCAACAAATTATTGCGTATACGTAGGGATGACCACGGTTCGGTTCGAACTAAACCGGACACTATAGCGAATGATATGATAAACAAATATCTTTCTTTGTAACTCTTTATTTAGCATATAATGGTACATATTATTCCTTCATCATAAGAATAACAACTCCATTAGCAATTTTTTAAATAGTACATAATGACACATTATATATGTATTATATTATATAACGGTACATATTATTCCTTGCTCACCCATTGTTTGCATCAGGGCCAATTTTTCGCCCGTACATAATGCCCAACAATACAAAGATTCAATTTTAGAGGGCACAATATTTATTTTTGACCAAACTGCTTAAGAAATAAAATAATAATATGCAATTAAGCCCACATTCCTTAACGTCTCTTTCTATCTTGCCTAAAACTCATTATTTTTTTTTTATTTTTTTTTTAAAATCAGGCATCACCATTGAAGATGGCAAGATTCTTCCTTTCTCCATTAATTTTGCAACTTTCCCCCAAATTTCTTTGATTAGTTGATTACAAAAGTTGCAATTCAGTTTTCACTTCTCTCTCCTAATTAATTGAGCATGATTGTGGCAAAATCGTTCAAAATCGTTTACATTCAATTTTCTTCTTAATCAAATCTTCAATTTTTATGTATCAAACAACTAAATTAGGACCTTATTTACTTACAAGAACGGAATTACAGTCATGATTTGCATTGATCAATGATGTCAGCCAGGTTACTGGTCAATGATGGTGTACCATGCAACCACCTTTTCACGTCCAAAGAGTCACTCTAAATTCCATCCTCCAAACACTTATGTTCAAGGCTCAATCTAGTCCTTTTAAGATCGCCCAACTTTATACCATAGAAGCCTAATCAGTATCCAGTTTTTACATGAAACCACCCTCCCGCCTTCCTCTAATGTTCCTAACCTGCAACACATCATTACCTAAGGTAATTTGCCATTTCATCAACCAAACGTCCCTTAATGGGTTGGGATGAAATAATATTAATCAAGAAGTGTTTTCAACAAAAATAATAATAATAATCAAGAAGTAAATTGATATAAAAGCCTTTAGTAATAACGTATGAATTTGACAGTTTGATGAGACATTGAAAATATAATTAATTGTATTATAAGCATTGATATAAAAATTTTAGCAATAACATATGAATTTGACAGTTTTATGAGACATTCAAAATTCAAAATATAATTAGTGGTGTTATAAGCATTGATTAGCGTAATTAAATAATGGGAATGTTTGGGAGAAGAAGTATTGTAATTGTAATTTAACGGGTGGTGGGTTGGACCCGTTTCCGCAATAAACGGGTCGGTACGTAATGTGCATGTAAATCCGTTACAAAAATATCTGTAATCAGTTATGATGTCGGGGTCGGAAAGCGTGAGCTACTGTCCCTGATCTCCACGTGGCGGCACGGAATGTTCAGCCCTCCCCCAGCCATTGGTTAGAAAAATAGGAGTGCCAAAGCTGTGCCACCGGATCATGATCGCCATCAAAAATGCATCGTCGTCTCTCCCACCTCCACGACAATGGCGATTCTCTCCAGGCAGACCCCAACTCGCTCCCCCTCCTTCATCCCTCGCTACGTCCTTATCTTGGCCTTCATCTCCCTCGCCCTCCTCCTCCTCTTCGAGGTATATATATATATATATCATTTCAATTTTAATTTTGATTTATGCTCTGTTCTGTTCTGTTCTTCAATTCACATTCAATCCTACCAGGTAGATAACCTGATTTCGAGGACGAAAACCATCGTGGGGCACAATTTAGAGCCCACGCCATGGCATGTGTTCCCGGCTAAAGACTTCGATGACGAATCGACCTATTCCAGAGCTTCCAAAATCCTGCAATGCTCTTATCTAACCTGCAGCACCCGGGCGGCGAACACCACCGCCGCCACCACCCCGACCATCAACCCCACCACGGACATTCTAGGAGGGAGTACCACGATCAGTAGCATCTACGATGACCCGAAAATAATCCGTGAATCCCCGCAATGCCCAGATTTCTACAAATACATATACTATGATCTGAAGCCGTGGGCGAAGTCCAGGATTTCACGGGCTCATGTCACGGAAGCCCAGAAGTCCGCGGCGTTCCGGGTGGTGATCGTGCAGGGGAAATTGTATGTGGATTTTTACTTTGCTTGTGTGCAGAGCCGAGCAATGTTTACCATTTGGGGCCTCCTGCAGCTGCTTAGGAGATATCCCGGCCTGATTCCCGATGTGGATCTCATGTTTGATTGTATGGATAAGCCCACCATTAATCGAACCGAGAATGCAGAGATGCCATTGCCAATCTTCCGCTATTGCACCACCCCCCAACATTTCGATATTCCCTTTCCAGATTGGTCTTTCTGGGGCTGGTAATTAACATTCTTTCTAGGATATATATAATTGTTTGTTTTTTTACCCATACATCAGATTATTAATTAGCAGCATTGTATGTACAGGTCGGAGATTAACATAGGACCATGGGATGAAGAGTTTTATAACATTAAACAAGGTTCAAGATTGCGGAGTTGGGCAAGAAAATGGCCAGTTGCTTACTGGAAAGGAAATCCGGATGTCAGTTCTCCAATTCGCACCGAATTGTTGCAATGTAATGACACTAGACTGTGGAGGGCACAGATTTTTCGTCAGGTTATTGAGTAACTTCTTTATCTTATTGTTAATATTATAATAATTTGACATTTACCATAGATCGATATGGCCTCATGAATATCATTTTCAAATATATATACTTACCCGCAGGACTGGGTAGAAGAAGCAAAGTCTGGTTTTGAGCAGTCCAAACTATCCAAGCAGTGCCAGCATCGGTAACTTAACTTAACTTCCAAATATAATGCTGTGGAACCATAAAATCCATCTTCAATTCTCATTCTTTATATTTTGGGATTAATCAATTATGCCTAGCTTGGATCATATCCCTTAGTTTTATGTTGTTACTGATAGATACTCACTCTTCTGATCTGGTGGCCTTAATTTAAAGTGCAAATTAAAGAAGATATATATGACTTACCCGGCTGGCCTTTTGGATGAATTTGTTTCCATTATATATATTGTATTGTATTTACAGGTATAAGATCTATGCTGAGGGATATGCATGGTCTGTAAGCTTGAAATACATTCTTGCATGTGGTTCTGTTCCACTTATAATAACACCAGAATACGAAGATTTCTTTAGTCGCGGTCTCATTCCAAAGCAACACTATTGGCCCATTCCTACATTTGATATGTGCCGAGCTATAAAAATGGGTGTTGAGTGGGGCAATGAACATCCGTACGAGGTATATACATATGTATGTTTCATATATAGGTAGTTGCATACCTAGTTTTGCTTAGTATTATTCATCATTAATGTGTTGGGTGGAGGTCGATATAGGCAAGTCTAGCACCTGATAGCTGGAGATTATTGGGCAGAAATCGGTAAAGGGTAAAGGCCAAGCCTGCCCAACACCCAGTATTCGAAAATGTGTGGCGGTATAAGGACATGCAGTTGTGCATTCCTATTAGCTATAGCTTTTGTAAGCGTTTCATATATAGTTAGTTGTATACCTAGTTTTGCTTAGTATTATTCATTATTAATGTGTTGGGTGGAGGCCGGTATAGGGAAGTCTAGCACCTGTTGGCTGGAGATTGTAGGGCAGAGGTCCGTAAAGGGTAAAGGGTTAAGGCCAAGCCTACCCAACACCCATTATTCGAAAATGTGTAGCGGTATAAGGACATGCAGTTGTGCATTCCTATTAGCTATAGCTTTTGTAAGCGTTTCATATATAGTTAGTTGTATACCTAGTTTTGCTTAGTATTATTCATTATTAATGTGTTGGGTGGAGGCCGGTATAGGGAAGTCTAGCACCTGTTGGCTGGAGATTGTAGGGCAGAGGTCCGTAAAGGGTAAAGGGTAAAGGCCAAGCCTGCCCAACACCCAGTATTCGAAAATGTGTGGCAGTATAAGGAAATACAGTTGCGCATTCCTATTAGCTATATCTTCTGTAAGGGCTTGATTCTAACATGATGTGGTTTGGATAGGCTGCAGAAATAGGAAAAGCAGCACAAGAATTCATGGGAAATCTGAGCATGGATCGGATCTACGACTACATGTATCATCTGATCAGGGAGTATGCAAAGCTGCAGGATTTCGTGCCAGTTCCACCATCCTCAGCTCAAGAGGTGTGTCTGGATTCTGTGCTTTGTTTTGCTGATGGAAAGCAGAGGGAATTCCTGGAAAGGACAACCGCCTTCCCTTCTTCATCCCCGCCTTGCACTCTTCCCTCTGCAGATATGAAACTTCTCAAGAAGGCTATGAAAAAGAAGAGAAAAATTATTGACAATTTACCACTTTGGTAGCTACTACCTAGCTAACTCCACATACAAACCTTACTTACACCGGCTATGGTAGAGACTAGAGAGTAGAGACTGCTCATACTCGATCCACATTTTCATAATTTCTGTTCCTCCATCTATTGTTATGTTCAAACTCAAACATTTTACTTTTGAGGAAAATCAATATTTTTTCCCCACTCAATTACACACATTATATGTGTGAAGAGTAGTTCTTTAATTTATTGAGTAATTAGGCATCCATAATGTAAGGACTTGTATGTACATCACAATGAAACTAAGGATGTGTTTGGTTCCGGAGTTAGACACAAGAAATGAAAATGAAAGTCATACACATTATTTGGTTGACAATTTTTTAAAATACACGTATATGATTTGTTACTCATATAATTAAAAATATTCATTGCCTAATTTAAATCAGGTATCATTCTATTAATTCAAATTTATCTCTCATCATCTCGTCGACTCCTCATCAATACATAGTATTAGTGCTTTTAGATTTTGATTTTGATTTTTTGTTCATTTTGTGCTTTGGATGTATCATATTATGATATTATGATCAATTACCTTAATTTTTTGTTTTTGTATTTTAAAAATCTTTATTCCAATTATAAGGTCATATATAACCAAACAACAATTTTGGTAATCAATCAAATTCCAAGCCTACCACCATGCAAAATACTTTCACCAAAACACATTCCAATTACTAAGTATTTGATTCATATTCTAATTCTAATTCCCATGTTTGAACTGAACACACCCTAAATGTTTAATGCTACTAACACGAAATAGAAATTGCTTTTAATTGCTATTTTTTTTTTTTTTTTAAATGTTGAAGTTGTCATTTTCATTTAAGCTATGACTTTCTTATAACTTATTTTGAACTATAGATAAATTATAGACTTTCTTTGGTAAAAAAATGGATCTTCTTGTAACTCATTTTGAAAAGTTATAAAATATAGCAAATTTGGGAGGTAATATGCGGTCTTCTAGGATTTCTCACTAGTCTTCTCTCCCTACGCGTTAGGTTTTCTGTCTGATCTTCAAGTTCATACCGATTCTTCGTGTTTTTTTTTTTTTTTTTTTTTTTTTTTTTTTTGTGGATGGATTACTGGTACTCTTAGCGATACTTTACGCCATGGACACGAGTGATCTGGAAAAACGGTGCTCAACAATATAATCACGTTGGCTGAAGAGGACAAGGGAGGGTATAGCTGCATCGGATGCTGTTCAAGCAAGTCCACCGATTTCGAGCCCAGACTGTCTATTCACCTTGGTGGGTTATTTTCTAATAGACAAATTGATCAAATTTGACCACATGCATAACACTCAAGCCGCAGTTTGACAACCGGTCATGGGTCTACGAGTTTTACAGGAGCAAGATAATCTATTTTTATTCCAGTTCTTCCATGAACGGGATGCAAACCGAGTCTTGGAAGATGGTATGTGGTCCTTCGACAATCATACTCTAGTCTATGTGAGGCTGGAGCCAGGTGCTTCACCAACATCTACCCCGCTCTTTCATGTCGACTACTGGTACATATTATAGATCTTCCCTCTAGTTTCCGCACAGAACAATTTATTGAGAAAGTTGCCAACTACGTCGGGACTTTTGTGGCTTGTGATCCGAACAATTTTGGGGGAACTTGGCACGGCTACATTCGTGCTAGGGTTTCTCTGGATGTTCAACAGCCTTTGAAGATACGCATAAAGCTTAAACTCCAGGATGGTACTTTCACTTGAGTTTCTTTCTGCTATTGACGATTGAATTCCTTCTACTACTACTACTGTGGTCTCCTCGGTCACATAGATAAATTCTGTAAGAAAGCATATGATGACAAGGCAGAATCGAGCTCTTACCCTTATGGTGCATGGATGAGAGCAGCAACAAGACGCACACCACAGCAAGTTAGAGCAAAGTGTCTACGCCAAGATGGTAAACCCATCCCACCACAAGTATTAATGGTAACATCCCCACTATCGATAACGGAAGGGACACATATATTGGGAGATGCCAAACGTAGAAGATATGAGGAGAAGCAGGCCACTAAGAACCACGACACAATGATGATTGAACAGTCAATAAACTAGCCATTGGCGGGAACTAGTTGCCAATCCCGCCTGGCCCAATGAGTACCTTGGTATGGAACTATCGAGGGTTGGCAGGCTCTCGGATAGTTCGTGAAATCCAGGACATAGTGTCCAAATTCTGGCTTTTTTTTTTTCTTGTGTGAAACAAAAGTACGTCGATGTCATGCTGAAGACCTACGCATAAAGATGGGTTATGAAGGATTGTTTTACGTGGATAGAAGGGGACTGAGTGGTGGTCTCGCACTGTTTTGGAAGGATAGAGGGTGTGCGAGTTTCATAAGCTACTCTCTTAATCACATTGGCGTGGCTGTTATCATCCCAGGAATATCACCTTGGCGGTTAACAGGCTATTATGGGTTCCTAGAGAGGAATCATAGCAGTCTTGGGATATGTTGAGAATGTTGAGTCAGAAATTTGCTCTACCTTGGGTGGTAGCGGGTGATTTCAATGATATTGATAGTGAGGTAGAAAAGAAAAGTATTCATCGCCACCCTGGCCCTTTAATTAGGGGCTTTAACACAACTTTAGACCAATGCGGACTTGCTGATTTGGGTATGTTAGGTTATCCCTACAATTGGAGAGAGGATGGAGAACAGAGAACTGGGTGGAAGGGCGCTTGTATTGAGTGGTGGCTACAGATAACTGGTGCACCTTTTTCCAATGTCATGATGTCACTAATGTTTTTACTATTTGCTTCGATCATTCTACGCGTTACTTGGAGGTTTTTGTCTAACGTATGCAGCGAAGGAAAATGGGATTTCACTTTGAGTCAGCTTGGTTAGGGGATGCAGGTTGAAAATCAGTAGTGGAACGCTCATGGATTGATTCAATGGGCATGGATTTCCAGAAAAGACTGTCTACATGCGTGCAAATCTGACAACCTGGGGTGGCGACCACTTTAATAATTTCAGTCGTAGAATCAAAGAACTAAAGCAGGGGTTAGCAAAGCTTCAGGGAAAGCGTGATTGGGCTTCCATTACGGAGTATGAGGCTCTTAATAATGCATTGCAATAGAAAACAGACTTTGTCACAAGAGCTCGGCCACTATTAGCATGATGAGCCCAAGCTTGGCCATCACGAGCACGTGGAGTTCGAGTTCGGCCACCATGGGCTCGATGAACCAGAGTAGTAGGAACGTTTGGGCCAGCCGAAATGATGTTAGGCGTAAGGCGACGAGGTCCCCCAAATTCCTCGTAGGCGAGACATGCCCCGACCTCAATTTTCTTAAATGGAGTTGAGAAGCCCGGCATCGCCTATTGCAATGCTAAGGATTAATTCCTAGCATAGGTCGAAGCAAGCCGACCTCGACCTTAATTATCCTTATGGGCATTGCGAGGCTGAAACTCACCTGGTGCCGAATGAATAATTGGGAGAGGCCATAGATCGTGGCAGCCGTGGTTCGAACCGGCAACTGCAAGCTTAAGACCCCGAAGGGGAAGCTAGTCGATAGGGTTTGGGACCCCGAGCCCCTACTCAATATTTTCAATAATTTCATTTTGTAAGGTGGTCCAACTCCTTAACAACCCGCATTCTTGAATAAGATAGCAAACTTTCGTCATGATACTCATTTTCATAACTCATAAGGAGGAGGGGAGGGGAGGCCGACCGCCGAGGTGGCCCAAGAAACCCTTAGCCGACCTCACAACACATCCCTTGGGGCGGTACGGGGTCTGACCTTACCTACCGCCAAACGGAAGAGCTTTATGGTCCAAGGTCGAATGATCTCGACCAAGTGGCTAGTACCCTTGGGACGGTATGAGGTCCGACCTCACCTACTGCCAGACGAAAGAGCTTAATGGTCGAAGGTCGAATGACCTCGACCAAGCGGCTAGTACCCTTGGGGCAGTACGAGGTTTAACCTTGCCTACTGCCTGACGGAAGAGTTAATGGTCCAAGGTCGAATGACCTCGACCAAGGGACTAATACCCTAGGTACGGTACGTGGTCCGACCTCGCCTACCGTCAGACGGAAGAATCTTTTGGCCCAAGGTAAAACCTTGCCAACTAACACCAAAAAAGAAAAAGAAAAAAAGAGAGGAGGAATCGAGCACATTTTTGAAAGTTACTGGCTCTATTACATTGTAGTATCTGTTCATATACTTTCTCAACCTACTGAAACACAGAGAACCAATAACGCCTCCACTGAGGAATCGAGCACATAGTTTGGGAAAATAAACTTAATCTTTACTGAACTAAGTGTTAAAGTGTAGACATAAGGGTAGCGTCTCAATGCACTAAATGTGTTACCTCGTAGGGTAGCTCCAACTTATCGTGTTGGTGACTCATACTTATCGTTTGTCGCCTACTTCTCCTGATCCTTTTAGACAGTGTGTACGGGCAATTGGTCCTTCTACACTCCTTCTGGAGGGATAAACCGTCCCCACCTAGACTTAGATGGTTCTTCCATCTGCGGCCTCATACTCCCTTCCTCTTCTAGGCATTTCAAGTGATTTGCTTATTCAGCCTCCACGTATCGATCTGCCTTCATAATTAAGGCTGCGTACGACCTCGGGGTTTCGCGCCATAGGCTCTTGTATAAGTCTCCGGTGCGAAGTGCCGCGATGAACATGACGATCACTGATCGGTCATCCATATCCTCTACCTCGGCCTCTTCTGATCTCCATCGCGCGAGTAATTTGGTGAGGGTTTCGTCCATCCATTGCTTAATACTAGCAAGGTGCGTGAAATGCTTCTTGTTCCTCCTCCCTCTCATGAAATGGGTAATAAACCTGGTGGCCAGATCTTGGAATGAGCTTATGGAGTTGCCCATCAAGTTCGTGAATCATCGCTGCGCACCTCCGGACAGCGTGGACAAAAATGTGCAACACATCAAGGCGTCGGAGGACCCCATTTAACATCATGGTGGCCTGATAGGTCAGCACATGCTCTTGGGGGTTTCCCGCCCCATCATTCCGCATAATGTTGGAGGTCTTGAAGATGGGAGGGAGGGGCTCATTCATGATCTTGGGGGTGAAAGGCGGTGTGACGGCTATCCTGGGTACCATGGGGTGGGTGTCATGCTCCTTCCACCATACCAATTCCTCGTTCTTGGCGTTCACCCTCTCAAGTCAGTCCATCGAAGGGTTGACTTGTCGGGCATGCGCCCCTCTTTCTAACGGGCGATATGCACTCTCTCCTTCGGCTTCCTCCATACTTGCCTTGCGGGTGTTCTTCCTCGGAGGCCCTTGGTCCCGCGGTACCACGAGGGCCCTCCTCCCGTTTCCAAGGGGGTCTGGCCTCGGGCCCAAGTGCTGGGGGAGCTGATCGCCGGCTTGGATAACATTCGTCCTCTCGTTGCCCTCCGGTCTCCCTCCTTCTGCGTGATTCGAGGGTGGTGCCTCCTCCATATCATGTTCGGTATTTCACGGGGTAAGTGTTCTTCACGCGAGCCAGCCAGGCGCCTGCTCCATATCGTGCGCAGGGTAAGTGCTCATCTGGCGAGCCAGCCATTTCGGCCTACCTCGCAGCGGTCCCCAATGACGGCGTTTTCGCTCATTCAAATAGAGATTATAGACACGTGCTAATCGCAGCGGTCCCCGCAGACGGCGCCAATGATGGTTTTATTGGGACCGGGTCCACCATAAACCAATATCGTGTTTGGTGTTTCGTGGGGTAAGTGTTCTTCAGTTTGTACAAAACCCGAGGTACAAGCCCAAAGGATGGGCTATAGCTAACTATGCTACATACAATAATCGAACCCAGGTGAGAGGGTTAAGAGCATGAGGTCAAGACCACTATACCGTAGTGCTTATAGTGCTTAAATCCTCCCCCCTTAAAAGGAGGGAATAGTGCCTTATATAGTGTAAAGGGCTTTCTGGATTGCTGATAAGTGTACGAGATCAACTAGTCTTCCATATCCATCCTCCACGTGTCCCATGCATGCCTCATGTTTTCACTCACGTCTCCACCTTCTCTCACACCTTCACCCCCACCTTCTCTACTACCCATCTCCACCCCTTACTACCAACCCCAGCTGATGGGGGCGCCGATGGTGTGCCGGGGGGTGCATTGTCCCCACTAGTCACGCCATGCCATGGGGAGTCCAATGGGCTCACATTGCTAGCCATGCGCTAGCCGGAAGGGTCGATTATCAATCCCTGCCGTACCTTACCCCTCCACACCATACCGCACCATTTCGAACACCACAACGCACCGCATCGCACCCCCTCGGGAACAGGGGCGCCATTGAAGTGCCCGGGGCGCACCACTCTGCCCGGCCACGCCATGGCTTGAGGTGGCCAGCGGGATACGCCGCTGGCCAGTCGCCGGGCGGCCAATGGCCGGTCATGGTCGTTGGTCAAAGTTGCCAGCCCGTAAAAATAGGCATAAATATAAGGTATCGCGCCTTGGTACACAAGAGTTGGTTTGGCTTGGTGGGTTGACCTTTGTGTGCTATGCTGGTGGTCTCAGGTTTGACCTTTACTAGCAGCACCCTTAACTTATTTTGCTCCACTTCGCCGGTGGTCCGGCGAGACCCGTACCACCACCGCCGGCGGGTTGGTCGATCGGCCGCCGGGCAAATTATTGTGTGAACCATGGTCCACATAGTGTTGTATGGACCATAAAAGAAAGTACATTTTTAATGTACTAAAAGTACATTCTTTGTGTATTGAATGTACATTATTTAAAATAATGTACATTTAGTATTCACATAATGTACTTTTCCTGAAAACAAAGTACATTTTTTATATATTAAAAGTACATTATTTGTATACTAAATGTACATTATTTTATAATATACAAAATATGGTTTTATTTTATATTTTAATGCTATTATGTTTGCATTGTGGTGATATACTTATGTAAATATGTAATTATGTATTAGTTTTGTATTAGGTATATTTTCCCGACAAATTATTGTGTGAAACATGGTCCACACAATTGTGTGGACCATGAATATCAGGTACATTTTTAATATATTAAAATTACATTATTTTTGTACTGAAGGTACATTATTTTTGTATTGAAGGTACATTATATAAAATAATGTACATTTAGTATATTAAAAAATGTACTTTCAAAAAATGTACCTTACGTACATAAATAATGCACCCTTAGTATATTAAAAATGTACTTTTGATTTATGGCCCAAACAATTGTATGGACCATGGTCCATGTAATAATGATTGTATTTCCCCCCTCCTCCATCAGGCCACCATGCATGCTTGCCTTCCCAGCCTAACCGGACTTGGGCCAACCTCGTTCTTTCACCACTCTCACTTGGGTCAATACTTTCCTAACAAAATGGACCCCCTAAGGTCCTCCATATATATATATATATATATATATATATATATATATATATATATATATATATATATATATATATATATATATATATATATATATATTCTATTTTATACCTAATATATTTTTATATTTACAATATAACCCCAAGCATATATAATTACCAAACCCTAACCCTCCACCTCCAAAATCTCATTCTAAATTATGATTCAACTATAAATATTGCTGCTAATCCTGTTATAAGTGTTCTTATTGTTTAATTTTTTTTCATTAATTGCTCTTACTATCATAATAGTTAATAAAATAAAATGTCACAACTTAATTATGTGAGTTGATTGTTAATTATTTATGAGATTATATAGGATAACAAAC